GTGCTGGTTTGGTATTCATGAAGTTCCTAAGGTGCTCTTTGTCATGAAAGTATCTTATTTCTCCATCACTTTTGAAAGATAGTTTTGCGGGGTACATCAATGTAGCTTGGAGGCTGTTTTCTTTTAGCGCTTGGAATATGTCACTCCAAGCTTTTCTTGCCTTGAGGGTTTGCATTGAGAAATCTGCTGTGATTCTGATGGGCATTCCTTTGTATGTTATTTGTTTCTTTTCTCTAACTGCTTGTAGAACTTTGTTTTTCTGTTGGGTTTCTGGAATCTTAACAACTATATGCCTATGTGTACATTTTTTTGATCAAGGCTATTTGGAGTCCTATATGCCTTGCTTATCTGTATGTCAAGTTCTTTTCCCCTGCTTGGGAAGTTCTCTGACATCACTTCTGTGAACAGTTTTATTTAATGTCATCTGCACGCTCTCCTGTTTCTTCGTTGACTCCCATCAGTCTTATGGTATTCTTCTTTGCATAGTCCAGCAGGTGCTGGATTGATTTCTTGTGGTCCTTTACAATTTTAAAGCAATTTTTCTTTTCCTGGTCACTAATTGCAATCTTATTTTCTATATCTGAAATTCTGCCCTTACATTGGCCCATTCTGCTGCATAGACTTTCAGTGGAGTTTTTAATGTTCTGGAAATCTGTTTGCATCTGTTTTATGGATTCCATTTGTTTCCTATGTTGGGAGTCCATCATGTTCCTCAGCTCCTCTATTGTTTTTATCTATGTCCTCTCTAGATTTATTAATCATGTCTTGCACTATGAGCACAATCTCTGCTGTTATGTGAGAAATTATTTCTGATTTCATTTTTTCCAGATCCTCTTTTGTTGCTAGTTCAGGGAGTCCAGGTGGTTGAGTATCAGAGTGTTCCATCTCTTTTCCCTTTCAGGTTGCTGTAGGTGATCTGGAAGTTTTGTTCTGAGGCTTGTTTACCTGTCTTCTCATTTCAACGTGGGGGGTGTGTGTGCTACTGGCACCCGCACAGCTCACCTCCTCTGCGCTGGGAGCTGTGGCACACCATTTGGCTTTTTTGATCTCTCTTATATATGTGCTTGGTTTTTGTTTCGATAATTTTGCCCTTTTATTAAACTTTTCATGGGACTTTTATGCTATTCTCTTTTTTAATTTCTTAATTTGCATAGTTTTAAGCTTCTTCAAACTTTTTATCTTTTCTGATATGTCTTTAAAGTTTTAAATGTATCACATATATGTTGATACATAACATTCATATTTTAGGGATGAATGTTTTCTAATTCTATAAGACCTGCTACACTTAGAATGCTTTTATTCCCCAATCTATGAGGTTTTTCTATCTTATATAAATTTCTCACTTACATTGATTATGATCAGACAACACGATACCACTTTATGTATTCTATAGGTCCTGGCATGAAGTGATGTTGTTTCCACTGTTTTCTACATAATCTGTCACTTGTTTTTGATTGCATCTACTTTAGTGCAAGGAGTAATTTAGAGGAGCACTTTAATTTCCCAGAATATTAGCAGTTTGGGGGGCAGGAGATTGTCTTTTTTATTATTGCTTTTTGTTGGATTAAGATTATGGCTTGCTGGGTGTGGTGGCTCCTACCTGTAATCCCAGCATACTGGGAGGCTGAGGAAAAGGAGTGCAGATTTGAACCCAGCCTGGGCAGTTTAGTAATTTAGTAAGATCCTGTCTCAAAAGAACAAAACAATAACAACAAGGCTGGGCATGAGGACTCTGGGTTCAATCTCCACTACCAAAAAGAATAAAAAGGCTTAGTCTCTAATGTAAATCAGCCACATGGGATGCTGTGCACCCACTCCAGGTCCTTGGTCCTGGGCAGAGGGGCAGGGACAGGACTTAGCTGTCTGGCAAAAGGGCACTAAAGGCGGGGGGTGGGGGGAGCCAGACAAGGACGAGGACACACTCCTCCAGCCCAGCTTCCAGGCCAAGCTCACAGCCTCCCTAGACACTGGTAAAGACAGGACGCTGTGGTCCCCAGAGCATGCCTAGACAGTGGGGCTCACTGTCTACCTGTTGATGTGGCCCTGGAGGGATATCCTAATGGGATTTTATTTTTTCCTGATGGGATTTTTAAAACTAAGTTATAATTCACATGCCATAATCTTCAATCTTTTAAAGTAAATTCAGCACTTTTTTTTTTTTTTGCTACCGAGGATCTAACTAGCACTTTTAATATACTATATTTTGTTTATCTGTTCATCAGTTGATGGATATTTGGGTCATTTCCTCTTTTGGCTATTATGAATAATGCTGCTGCAAACATTCATGAACAGGTTTTTATGTGGATATAGGTTTTTATTTCTCATGTATATACCTAGGAGTGAAAATGCTGCAGTCAGATGGTAACTCTCTGTTTAACCTTTTGAAAAACTGCCAGATTGCCTTCTTTTTTTCCATAGTACCAAGAATTGAACTCAGGACCTTGCACTTCCAAGGCAGCTAAGGTGCTGCTGAGCTAAATCTCCAGCCCTGCCACACTGCTTTCTAAAGTGGCTGCCCCATTTTACACATCCACCTCCAGCAGCACGAGTAAAGTTTCAAATTTCTCCACACCTTTGATAACATTGATTATCATCTGTCTTTTTGATTATACCAATCTTAGTGGGTGTCAAGTGGTATTTCGTCATGATTTTGGTTTTAATTTCCCTAATCATTAATGATGTTGAGCATCTTATGTGCTTATTGGCCATTTGTATATCTTCTTTGGAGAAATGTTTATTTAAATCCCTTGATCAAATCTTTTTGATTACCAGGTTGTATGAATTATTAAATATTCTATACATTAGCAGTATTTTTTAAATTCCAGAACCCCTAATCTATTACACGTGAATCAATCCCAGCCCCATAGTTAGAATCTGTCTTTCTCCTAATGTCTGAACAGAGAAAAGCATTTCATCACTGTGTTTCCTATTAGTCCATATGAGACACAGAGACCTAGATGGCCACCATAGCTGCTCTACTTTACTAATCTTTTACAAGTTTCCAGGCACCATGCTAAAGGATTTACATGTATTTTCTCATTTCCTGACCACGGCAGTCCTGTGAAGTATGCATTATTATCATCTTCATTTTAAAGATAGAAACTAAGGCTCGTTAGTTACTGACTTAAGTGTTTAACAAGTTACTTAAGTCATTAAGTGACTTCCAAAATATCACACAACTAAGTGAGAGAGCTTCAATTCTAATCTAGTTTTCCAACTGGAAATTCCAGGCTCCTAACCATCCAGGTATACTTCATTCCAAACTGAATCCAAACATCCACTTCCCAGCTCCTTAAGTTCATTTTCACAAGTGTCTGGGCACAAAAGGGCAGACAGCAACTTGAGACTGGAACAAAGGAGAATGAGGGAGGTGACATAGCTTTGCCTCCTATCTCATGGTGACTCTGGGCTGCTCTCCCCAGTTTGCCCAGTATGCTGAGATCGTCAACTTCACCCTGCCTGATGGAACTCAAAGGAGTGGCCAAGTGCTTGAAGTGGCTGGGACCAAGGCTATTGTTCAGGTAAGTGACATCAGTAAGATGTTGGCAGGGTGAATAAATTAATAAGCCCATGAAGTTTCCTACACTTTCTTACCAATTCTGAAGATGGTAAACTACCTATTTCCCTGTAAACACACTACCTAGAGCTAGATACAAAGAGTGCCTAGAATGGGAAACCCCATTCTCTCCAGCAAGCCCCTTATCTTGTCCCATAGGTGTTTGAAGGAACCTCTGGGATTGATTCCCAGAAGACCACCTGCGAGTTCACAGGCGACATTCTACGGACTCCAGTGTCAGAGGACATGTTGGGTAAGGCATGTGGTGGGGATGGGGGTGTTCCTCTGCCTTCCTGCCCCTGCTTCTCTGACCAGGCTGTAGCTCACCACCTTGTCACGGACTTGTGTGTCTGTCTTTCCTGGGAGCTCTCTGAGGACAGAGGTTATATCTTGTCTCCTTAGTTCCCAACCCTAGCTCAGGGCCCGACAGATAGCAAGTGTTCAATAATGAGGAAAGCAAGTTCAATAAACTACAAGTACAGCAGATACTTGACCAACTAGGGGTCAGGTTGAAAGGGACTGTGAAGCCCTATATGTCCCCAAATGTATCTCAGGACCTGCCATACCTGGCCTGGTCACCCCCCAGCTTTTTCAAGACCTGCAATCTCCCCATCAGAACCATTGTCTGGGGTAAAGGTCTCTGGGTAAAGAGCTCTCTCGGGTACGTGAAGGCTGAACAGGACAGGGATATGGGCCAGTGCAGGAGTTGGAGGGATGAGAGCTGGTGGTGGTATGGAGGCTGAGAACAGTGAGGGACTCAGGGCTGGCCCTGAACATCCATGTACACCCCCTGCCCACCCTCAGGTCGGATTTTCAATGGCTCCGGAAAACCCATTGACAAAGGGCCTGTGGTCATGGCGGAGGATTTTCTGGACATCAATGGTGAGTGACTGGAGACTCTGGTGGCTTTCAGGACCCAGTCTTCAATTCCTTCCCATCCTCAGTCATCATTCTGCCACCCTGTCCTTGGACGTTGAGCCCAGACACAGACCACCAGCCAGTGCTCACCCCAGAGCTGGTCAGAATAAGGGACAGATCAGGTGGGATGTGAGGGCAGGAAAGGCCTCTCTGTCCCCAAATCTTCCACTAAACCGGGACACTGCCCTCAGCACTCTAAGTCTACCCTTTGTAAAATGGTATCATCACTGCACAGTGTTCTGTGTGCTCCCCCAGGGTCCCTGTCCCTGTCCTGAGAGCTGCACCGGGGTGGTTTGCAGCAGCAGACTCAGGCCCTCCCAGGGCCTCACCCATTCAAGTGGGGGCTTCCTCCATCTTCCATCTCCAGCCCATCAATCACTGAAGGAATGATGGAGACCGCTGAACCCCATGACTTGCTGAAGGCCACAAAGCAAGTCAGCAGCAGAACTCAGGCAGTTTCTGAGTCCCTCAGGTCCTCTGTCCCCCTGCTCGTAGGTGTTGAGCATGGCTGCCTTGGCCCAAGGGGTGCACATCCTGAGTCCTCGCCACCTGCTTACAGTGAACTAAGGCAGTGCTGCCCAAGGTAGCATTGGACCTGTGGCTCTTGAAACTTAAACCAATTCAAATGAGAGACATTTTCACTTCCAAATCACATTTTATATGCACAATGGCTGCACATGGCTGGGGCTACACTGGACTACACATCCTCCGTCATCCCAAGAAGTGGGAACAGTGCTGCTGTTCTGAGCAGTCTGAGCAGGGCTGGTGAGGACAGAAAAGGGAGAACCCCTGAGCATGCCTCCATGTTTGCCCCTCCCAGGCCAACCCATCAACCCCCATGACCGAATCTACCCAGAGGAGATGATTCAGACTGGCATTTCTCCCATCGATGTCATGAACAGTATTGCCCGTGGTCAAAAGATCCCCATCTTCTCAGCGGCTGGGCTCCCCCACAATGAGGTGAGACCTGTAGGGCCAGCAAGCACAGCCAAAGGGCAGGAACAGCAGAGGCCCAAGCTCCTGTGCCCAACAGAGGGTGGGGTCACCCGCATCCAGACTGGCATTCAGGGCTGCACAAGCCCTGTTCCATGTCTCCCAGCAGCCCTTCTAGCTGCCTTGAACCAGTGGGGCACACACAGGCTCTTGGGTGGCCCCCAACTTTGAAGGCCCTGCTCAGCAGAGCTTGCTTGGCCTTGTACTCATGTCCTCTGCCCCACATCTACTCCACCACCATCACCAAGTTCAGCTAGTCAGTTCCTCCCCGAGTGACTGGCATAACAAGGTTTCTACCTTCCCTACTACTCCTGAAGGTAGCTCACCTTAAAATGGCCTGAGTGATCAGAAGGCATAAGTGCCCCCACTCTTGCGTACACACAGGCACATGCACACACACACACACACACACACACACACACACATCCTGGCTTGGGAGATAGTGTCTGGTAGCTCCACACATTGCAGGCCGGGGGCAGCTCTGTGCCCATAAAACCCCAACAGACTGTGAGAGAGACAGAGGCTCTGAAAGGCCTGACTGCCTTAAGCCAATTTGCCATTTGGAACTACTGTGACTCTGCCCTTCTCATGACAGGCACCCTAGGCCCATTCATAGCCACAGAATAGCCTCTCCCCCTCCAAAAAAAGATTGTAGAATTGGGGGCAGCCCCTGCACCTCACCAGCCTCAGACAGCCCCTACCAAAGGCCTGGGTAGGAGGACAGATTGGAAATGTCTCTGTCCCTCTCCTCAGTGGGGTAGGTGCTGGGCTCTGCTCCAACGGCTTCCCTCCCAATGCATTCTGCCTCAGATTGCAGCCCAGATCTGCCGTCAGGCTGGGCTGGTGAAGAAATCCAAAGCTGTGCTGGATTATCATGATGACAACTTCGCCATTGTCTTTGCAGCCATGGGGGTAAGGGAGCCACCTGGGCCCATTGTCAAGTTGTAGAATCTGTAAGCAGGCAATTCTGTCTCTCTTGGGCCCTGGCACAGCCAGATCTGATGGGCGAGTCATGGTCCTTCTTCTCGAGAAGCCATTCGAGTCCAGGCCAGTCTGCATGACTGAGGCACAAGGGTGGGCTCTGACAGGGCAGCATGTCCCTCAAGGCATCCCCAAAGCCACAGAAGCTATACGATAGACCAAGGGTGGCCTAGAGGAGGACAGGAAACAAGATAGCTTCATGGGATACCAAAAACCCTCAGCAGGCCCAAGGGAAGGATGGGGAGCGGGCAGGGTAGCAGCTGGCCAAGGGAGGCACAGGGTCGGTACTAAACAGAGCCTGACCTGAACAAGTCTGAACCTCTCTGGAGGCGCTATGAGGTCTCTCAAGTTCCAGGGTCACCCCAGTAACTTCAGTGCCTTTGCCCCCAGCAACTGTTAGCCAGTCAATCCACAGGCTTTCCTGAGGTCAGCTGGGAGGGTCCAGGCCCTGCCCTCAGGTTACAGGGCCCCACCTCCAGCCCTCCTTTCTCTGTGTCCAGGTGAACATGGAGACAGCCAGGTTCTTCAAGTCCGACTTCGAGCAGAATGGAACTATGGGGAATGTCTGCCTCTTCCTGAACTTGGCCAACGACCCTACGTGAGTCCTCCCTGATGCTCAGACTGCCAGTAGGGGGGAGGCCCTGTCCCCCTGCAAAACCAGGGGACCAGTGCTCACAGCATCCCGGAATCACAGCCATGGTCCAGAGCTAGGAGAGCAACTGGGGAACTGAGGCCTGAGAAGGGCTAGGAATGGCCCATGGAGAGACTGTGGGAGCCAGACCAGGACTCCACCTCCAGTCTGCAGCCACTTTGCCTTCCCATGACCTTCGTACAGTCACTGTCTTAAGTCAGGGCCCCTTGTCCCTGGGTCACTTCCACAGCATCACCACTAAAGAGATCACTTCTCTAAACCACTTATTTAGAAAGACTGCTATTCTGAAAGTTTAGAAAATGGGAGTTTAAATCTGGCAAATCAGGTGGATGAAAGACAAAGTTCTAATAAACTGTCCTGGGTATTGAGGGTACTGCAAAAGCTAAGGAACAGAATTATGGAGGCAGTGATGGCATCAGTGAGGGAAGACCCATAGGCCCGGGGCAGGGACTGAGACAGCCTGGAGCCAAAGCAGGGTGTTTAGAGGTGCTCAAAGTGAGAAGGGGAGGAAGCATGTGGACCGTGCACGCTAAGTGTGCTCACCAGAAGTAGGAGCGATAGTGAGCACAGAGACAGTCCTGAGGGCAGAGTAAGTGTGCTCCAGCTGACTCAAGAAAATGCAGGGTGCCCTGGAGTAAGAGGGAGTGAAAGCAGGCGCTTGTGCCTTCACCTGGCCCCCAGTGTGATAGGCCAGAGTCCTTCACCTTCAGTCCATGGGGATAAGGCCATGGTCATCCTCATCAAACACTGCTGGCTCCCTCCCACCCAACTTCCCTTCTGGTCTCAGCCTCTGTCTCCTGCCATCCTCCTCTCCAGCAAGAGAGGGGGCTGTCGGACTTGCTGCCAGGAACCAGGCCCTGACCTGGGGACTGAGGCAGGGGCTCATCTCACCCATTCCCCCACCATAAGCACATAAGCTTCCTAGTTCATCTTGCACTCAGCTCTGGGGCTATGTGGGGTGCAGGTCTGGGGGTCCAGGCTCTGAACACCAGCCATGCCTCTCTTCTAGGATTGAGCGGATAATCACCCCGCGCCTGGCACTGACCACTGCAGAGTTCCTTGCCTACCAATGTGAGAAGCATGTGCTGGTCATACTGACAGACATGAGCTCCTATGCAGAGGCCTTGCGGGAGGTGAGCTAGCTGGCCAGGCGAGTCAAGTTCTTTCCTGCCTCCCTCAAGGCTTGAGTTTCCAGGAGTACCCTTGAAAATAGAGGGAAGCTCGTCCATTCAGGCCTGCCCTGGGGTTCAGTCACAACCCAGCTATTCCTCTTCTGTCCTCCAACCTCATTCTTCACCCTCCTGAATGTCATCATCTCAGTCCCTTTCTTACCTCAGTACCCATGGGTATTGCAGGTCTCAGCTGCCAGAGAGGAAGTGCCTGGGCGCCGAGGCTTCCCGGGATACATGTATACAGACCTGGCCACCATCTACGAGCGGGCAGGCCGCGTGGAGGGCCGGGGAGGATCCATCACACAGATCCCCATCCTCACCATGCCCAATGATGGTAGCCTTCCCCAAAGTCCCCGGCCCTGAGAATCCCCGTCTCACTTTCTTACCCAGAAACTTAAAGATCCTGTGCTGCTTTGCAAAGATGTGCAGTAGTTCTAGTCCTCCATCAGGATAAACGCTGTCCTTTCCTTCACCTGCCCGCACCCCATCACTCTCTTGAGGAGACTAGAACCCAATGGCCCTGAGACCTGGCCCCCATCCACACTGAGACATTTTCCTGCAGATATCACCCACCCCATCCCAGACTTGACGGGCTTCATCACTGAGGGACAGATCTACGTGGACAGACAGCTATATAACAGACAGGTACTACTCCCTCTCTCTGCCATCTGTTCTCACCTCCAAAGACAGAATGACCCCCCTGTACCTGAATGAGGAGCAGCCAGCTGAGGCTCACCCTAAACAAGAGACACAACCTGGGAAGACTATGTGGTTCCGAGTCTGGGTAGAGCCCAACCCACGTGGCTGTGGGAATCTGAACAAATAATCCCATCTCTCTGAGCCTGGGTAGGATTCCTCTTCCATAAGATGGAAATAATATGGCACCAGTGCATTGTGGGGGATAAAATAAGTTGACATATAGGAAGTATCTGGAAGATAATAGATACCAAATACTAATTCTCTTTCCTTTCCAGTTATTTGCTTTGGTAAGCAGAAAAGAAGGGGTAATTAACACAGATTGTGAATAATGTGCCAAGGTGTCAGAAAATGTGTCTGTCCTGTCCAGAGGTTAATAGCTATACCCATGACTTTTTCTTCTTTTCATGTTGTTTCTTTGCAGCTCCTGTTAAGATTCAACCTGATTTTTTTGTCCAAATAGTCAAGCGTTTTGAAGGAGTCAACCTTTTATTAACCACGTCGAGTCATCTCCTCACGCCCAATAACCTGTCTAGGGACACACGTGCAGACACTTGCCCCAGAATTTCTGGGAGATGGGGTGGGGGGACAGCTGCTTTCTCTGTAAGATGAATGAGGACAGCTCTCCTGAGAACCACAGAGGAGGAGAAGGGCAGTGCAGGCAGGAAAGAAAGCTTGGACTCTACTCTGCTACTCTCCACCCCCTAGGTTTACCCCCCTATCAATGTGCTCCCTTCCCTGTCCCGACTGATGAAGTCCGCCATTGGGGAGGGCATGACCAGAAAGGACCACGGAGATGTCTCCAACCAGCTGGTAAGGGGGAGAGGGGCAGGGGCTGGTGGCTTTTCTAGATTCAGAAGCCGGAGGTTTGAGCCCCAGTCTGGACCACAAGCTTTTCTCCTGGAAAAACTCCTTGCCAAACCGTGGTGACGACAATGCCTCTGCCCCTCTCGCAGTACGCCTGCTACGCCATCGGGAAGGACGTGCAGGCCATGAAGGCCGTGGTGGGGGAGGAGGCGCTCACCTCGGAGGACCTGCTTTACCTGGAATTCCTGCAAAAGTTCGAGAAGAACTTCATTAACCAGGGTGAGGCGCTTCGCGGGCGCGGAGGCAGTAACCTTTTCCCCCTCTTCCTGCCCCATATCCGGAGCCTTAACACTCCCGCTCTGTCCCAGGCCCCTACGAGAACCGCTCGGTGTTCGAGTCTCTGGACCTGGGCTGGAAGCTGCTGCGAATCTTCCCCAAGGAGATGCTGAAGCGCATCCCTCAGAGCGTACTCGATGAGTTCTACTCCCGCGAGGGGGCGCCGCAGGACTCCGCGTCCTACACGGCGCTCTAGGCCAGCGCATCCTATAGTCCCTGCCCTCTGTGCCCACCACTACCCAGCCCTCCTCCGCCACCATCTCCCCATCACCCCTCCACCCCGAAGTCACCGCTTCTGCGCCCACCTTCAGCCCCTGCAGACTGTGAGGGTTCACACGCTCCATCTGTCTTCCTCCACTCGCAGCACTGGGACAGAAGAGAGGTTCTTAAACCAGTGACCCATGACTTAGTCAGACAAGAGTATCTGTATATGTATTTTAAATGGCATTTTGTATGTTTCTGTGGCTCTGGGGATCCAACCCAGGGCCTCCTGAATGCTAAGCAGGCTACCACTGGGATGCACCCCAGTCGTATGTTTTTATTTAAAATCTCTCCAAATAAGAATAACTCAGATGAATTTATTTTAGGTGAAAACAAGATTGGTATTTAAAAGAAAAAAAAAAAGATAATTGTTGAAGGTGTAGGTGATAGATACATGAAGTTCATTAAACTATTTTTCCCCCCTAAAAACATATATTCGAAAGGCTGGGGCCGGAGGATCGAAAGTTTAATGCCAGCCTGGACACTTAACAAGATCCTGTCTCAAAAAATAAAAATAAATAAACGAATAAAAAGGGCTGGAGATACAACTCACCACTTCCTGGGGTTCAATCTCCAGTACTATAAAAGGAAAACAAGCTAACAAAAAAATGCACTAATGCCTCAACAGGTGATAATAGAATTCCTCTTAGGAAGATATTTATCTTTCTAAAGAAATAGCTTGCTAAATTTCCTGGGTAGAACTTGAGCTCAGGGGCCATGGAAGAGAAAATCATAGCCACAAATGATTTTTTACTTTAAACAGCTCTGTCTGAGAGATACTGGGTGGTAATTTGGTTTGCTGCAGACACAGAGGGAGTTAGGGAGATAGCCTGAGGGACAGGATAGACGGGGGTGCAGAAGGCTGAGGAAAGATCCCAAATGAAGAAATGGGTGAGAAGCATTCCAAAACTCAGGATGCCTAAGCTCCTTTGAAAGCTGCCTGCTCTTCTGTGATGTTATCCCTTCTTTTGTCTCTCTGCCCCTACAAAGAAGTCATGAGCCTACGAAGAATTCATGAATGCTTCTTAAAAGTGAAAGTGTAGGTGGGGAACATGGGACTTTAGCCAAGAAATGAGTTTCATTTCTAAGTCATTGTGTCCTAGAACCTTGTCAGAATTCTTGGATCAAGGACTGGCACCAAAGGAGGCCCGAAGATACAAGTCCCATTCCCAAGACAATTCATAGCCATCTGGAGGAAAGCTTTGACTGTGCACAGGGCATAGAGTTGTTTTTGTTCAATAATAGTTTTATTGAGATTTATTGATTCACACTGTAAAATTTACCTATTTGTAACTGTATGATTTAATAGTTTTTAGTATATTCACGAAGTTGAGTGACCATGACCACAATCAATTTTAGAACATTTTTATTACCCCTAAAAGAAATCCTGTACCTCCAGCCGATCCATTCCTTTCCTATCCCTAAGCAACCATGAATCTACTTTGTATCTCTATGGATTTGCCTATTCTGGACATTTCATATAAATGGAATCATACAATATATGGGCTTTTGTGGCTGGCTTATTTCACTTAGCAAACATTTTGAAGGTTCCCTCATGTTGTAGAATGTATCAGTACCTCATTTCTTTTAATTGCCAAGTAGTAATCCACAGCATGGATGTACCATGTTTTGCTAAACCATCAGTTAATGAACATGTAAGTTGTTTCTATTTTTTACCTACTTTGGATAATGCTGCTATGAACATTCATGTACACATTTTTATGTGGATCTGTCTGTTCATTTCTCCTGGCTATTACCTAGGAATAGAATTGCTGAATTAGATAGTAACTCAGTTTATCTTCTGAAGGAACTGCCAAACTGTTTGTGAAAATGGCTGAATCATTTTAATTCCTATCAGCAATGTGTGAGGGTTCCAACTTCACATCCTCAACAGCCCTTGTAGTTATTTTATATTAGTGTGTATGAAATGGTGTGTCATTGTGCTTTTGATTTTCATTTCCCTATCAAGTAATGAAGCTGACCACCTTTCTTTGTGCTTATTAGCTATTTATAACTACTCTAGGGAAATACCTATTCAGACCTTTTGCCAATTTTAATTGTTAGTTGTCTTTTCATTATTGAGTTGTAAGATTTATACATATATTCTAGACACAAGTCCTTTACCAATGATTCATAAATATTTTTTTTCTCATCTCTGTGTCATTTTTTCACATTCCTGATGGAGTCCTTTGAAGCACAAAAGCTTTAAATTTTAATTTTGTCAGGTTTATTTTTCTTTGTTTCTTTTGGTGTCACATCTACGAACTCATTGCATAATTCAACATTGTTATGTTTTGTATCTAAATGTCTCCCCAAAGCCTGTACATTCATAGGTGGAGCTTTGAGGAGGTGATTGGATCGTGGAAGCATGATATCCATCACTGGATTAGTCCACCGATGAGTTTATAGCTAAATCTGATGTTGGGAGGGGAAGCCTGGTCTGAGGAGGTGGGTGTCTGGGAGCATGGCCTGGAAGGGTTTATCTCCCTCTCTCCTCCTTTGATATCTCTCTCCTCCCTCTCTCTCTCTTTCTCTCTCCCCCCTTCCCCCTCCATCTCTCTCTCTCTCTCTCTTTCTGATGCCCTGTCATAAGCTGTCTCTCCTCTGCCATATCTTTTGCCATCCCAACCTATCTTGGAGCCAGCTGACTATGGGCTGAAACTTCTACAAACTGTGAGCCAAAATAAGTCTCTCATCCTTTAACTTGTGGGTGTTGGGTATTTTGTCCCAGGAACAACAACAAAAAAAGTAACTAAGACAAACATCATAAGGATTTATGCTTCATTTCTTCTAAATATTTTACAGTTTTTGTTGTTATGTTTGCCTTTCAGCCTTTTGAGTTTTGTATATTGTGCAAGGTGGGGGCCCAACTTCATTCGACTCATTTATCAGAAATACTATTCTTTCCAGTTGTGAGTTGTCTCAGAAAAAAATTAGTTGACCTTGGCCTGGAGATTTAGCTCACTGGTGCCACCGCCTACTAAGAAAGCACAAGGTCCCGAGTTCCATCCCCCCCCCATACAAAAAAAAATTAGTTGACCATTAATATTGTGAGGGTTTATTTCTAGAAATGTATATCTCCTTATGCCAGTACCACACGTTCTTAGTTACTGTAGCTTTATAGTGCTTTGGTCAGGAAATTAGAGTTTTCCTACTTTTTTCAGATAGTTTTGGCTCAAATATCCTTGGGAATTTTAATTTTTTCAAAGAAGCCAGTTCAAGTTATGATGGAGATTACATTAAATGTGTACATTGATTTGTGTAGTATTGTTATCTTAACAATACTATTTTCTCATCCATGGATGTAAAATATCATTCTGCTTATTTAGGTCTTCTTTCATTTCTTTCAACTAAGTTTTATAATTTTCAGAAAGTTAAATTTTGTACTTCTAAATTTAAGTACTGTACTAAATCTATTATTTCTTTGATGACATTGTAAATGGAATTATTTTCTTAATTTCATTTTCAGACTGCTTGTTGGTAGTATATAGAAATGTAATTTATTTTTATATATTGTTCTTATACTCTGTAATCTGGTGGGCTTATTTATTAGTTCTAATAGATTTTTTTATAGATTCCTTAGAAATTTCACTACATAATACCATGCCATCGATAGAGATAGTTTTACTTCTTTCAAATCTGGATGCCTGTTTGTTTTCATTTTCTTGCCTGATTTCCCTGGCTAGAACCTCCAATGCAGTACAGTTTTGAATAGAGGTGGCAAGAATGGAGATATGTGCTTTTCTTGTTCCTAATCTTAAGAAGAAATCATTCAGTTTTTTACTATGAGTCTGATGTCAGCTCTAGAGTTTTCATAGGTTTTTATCAAGTTGAAGTTCATTCTAATCTAATTTTGTTTTGTACTTTATCATGAGGAAGTTGAAATTTTGTCAAATGCTCTTTTTTATCTATTGAGATGACATGGGCTTTTTGTCTTTCATTCTATTAATATAACATACAATATTGATTTTCAGATGTTAAACAAAACTTGCATTCTTGGAATAAATTGTATTTGCCATAGTGTACAGCCTTTCACATGTGTTTGATTTGCTAGTGTTTTGTTGAAAATGTTTGCATCTACATTTGCGAGAGATGTTGCTCTATAAATCATTTGTTGTTGTTGTTGTTGTTAAATTCTTTTATTGGTACATTGTAGGTATACAACACAATTACATTTCTCATTGGGAATTGTACCTCTACATAATGCACCTTGGTTCTTATTTTTTCCCCATTCCTAGCCCTCCCTTCACCCCCTGCAGCCTTCCCTATTTACAAAGACTTTATCCCGTTTTTTCCATTTCTCAGCATTTTTCCTTTCCCTTCTTTCCTTTCCCCTGCCCCTCCCACTACCCCTACCCCTTTGGACCTTTTCTTCCTATTTTGCGTTATCAATTATTCATTCTAATCATTGGTACATTTTAGGTATACAATATAATGACACTCATCATTGGAAATTTGCACCTTTACATAGTCTCTCTTGGTTCTTATTTTTCACCCTTGCCCAGCCCTCCCTTCAACCCCTCCATTCCTCCCTATTTACAAAGATTTTGTTCCTATTTTTCCATTTTCTCATATTAATCCCATTCCCTTCTATCCTTTCCCCTAGCCCTCCCACTTCCTTCCCCTTTGCCCCTTTCCTTCCTATTTCACATGACCTATTATACATTTAGTCTTTATCTACACTTTCAGTTTCTCAAACCAGAGAAACTATTCGGTATTTATTCATGTGTGTCCTATTTATTTCACTTAAGAGTATCAGCTCAATGTGCATCCACTTAGCTATAAATGTCTCTAATTTCTCATTTTTTATGGCCAAGTAGTACTCCATTTTATTAAAAAACCACATTTTCTTTATCCAGTCTCCAGTTGATGGGCATTTGGGCTGTTTCCAAGTTTTAGCTATCACAAACTGTGCTGCTATGAACATGGGTGCCCATATATCACTGTGGTATGATTCTTTTAATTCTTTAGGGAAGATCCCCAGCAGGGGAATAGTGGGGTCAAATGGGACTTCCAGTCCTAGTTCTTTGGGGTATCTCCATACTGATCTCCACAGTGCTTGCACCAGTCTACACTCCCACCAGCAGTGGAGCAGGGTTCCTCTTTCCCCACAGCCCCACCAGAATTTGTTATTGGTTGATTTCATGATAGCAGCCATTCTTTCTGGGGTGAGGTGGAATCTCAGCATTGTTTTCATTTGCATCTCTCGAATGACCAGTGATGTTGAACATCTTTTCATATATTTATTTGCTATTTCTACTTCTTTGTTTGAGAAATGTCTGTTCATTTCAGATGCCCATTTTCGGATTGGGTCTTTAAATTTGGGAGGTCTGATATACATCATTTTTTCTTATGATGTCTTTGTCTGGATTTACTGTCAGGGTAATGCTAGTCTCATAGAATTGTTTATTTTTTGGTTTTTGGAAGTGTTTGCAAATTCTTTGTTTTAAATCTTTTAAATTTTTTTCTATTTTTATTAGTGCATGATTGCAGTGCATAATGATTACATTCATCATGGGGGTTGGAACATGTACGTAACACATCTTAATACTTCTGTGTCCCCTTCCCTCTCTCCCACCTCCATCCATCTCTTGGTTCCCTTTCCATTTGCAAAAGATCTATCTCTTGTTTCTTATTATCTATTTTCTATTTTGCTCTTTAAACTATTTATATTCGGGCCGGGGATTTAGCTCAATGGTTCCAGTGCCTGCCTCAAAAGTGCAAGGTCCCGAGTTCGATCCCCAGTACCAAAAATAAATAAATAAATAATAAATTTTTACATTGGGCTAAGAAAAACCTCAAGGTGCATCTATTTTCCTGCAAATGATTCAAATGTATCCTTCTTTAAGGTAGAGTAATATTCTATAGTGTATAAATACCACATTTTCCTTATCCATTCATACATTGGACATATAGGCCACTTTCAAGATTTAGCTATTATCAAATGGCCTGCCATAATATAGGTATGCATATATCACTATAATATGATGTCTTTAACTCTTTCAGGAAGATACCTAGAAGGGGAATAGCTGGGTTGAATGGAATTTCTAGTTTTAGTTTTTTGAGGAATCCCCATACGGATTTCCATAGTGGTTGTACTAGCTTACATTCCCATCAACAGTGTAGAAGCGTTCCTTTGTTCCCACAGCCTTGCCAGCATTGGTTATTATTTGATTTCTTGATAATAGCTATTCTTTCTGGAGTAAGATGGAATCTCAGTGTTATTTTAATTTGCATTCCTCTAATGGCCAGAGACATTGAACATTTTTTTCATATATTTACTGTCCATTTGTACTTTTGAGAAGTGTCTATTCATTTCACTCACCCATTTTTGTTTGGATCTTTTATTTAAGGGAGGGTCTAATTTTTTTAGTTCTTTTTTTTTTTTTTTTTTTTGGTACCAGGGATCAAACTTGGGTTTAGTTCTTTATATATTCTAGATATTAGTCCTCTGTCAGAGAAGTAGCTGACAAAAATGTTTTCCCATTCTGTAGGCTGTCTCTTCACTCTGTTGGTTGTTTCCTTTACTATACAGAAGCTTTTTAATTTGATATAATCTAATTTGTTGATTCTTGATGTTATTTCTTGTGCAACTGGAGTTCTATTCAACTTGTGCAACTGGAGTCCTACTTCTATGTCTTCAAGAGTTTTACCCATTTTATCATCTAGCAGATTGTATTTCTATTTTTATATTTAGATCTTTAATCCATTTTTACTTTATTTTAGTACACAATGAGAGATATAAGTCTAGATTCAATATTCTGCATGTGTACAGTCAGTTTTCCCAGCACCATTTGTTAGGCTGTCTTTCCTCCAGTGTACTTTTTGGTCCCTTTGTCAGAGATCAGATGACAGAATGCGCCTGGGGTTGTTTCTGTATCCTCTATTCTGTTCTATTTATCCCCATGTCTGGTTTTGTGCCAAAAACATGCTAGTTTTTATCACTGTAGCTTTGTAATGTAACTTAAAATCTGGGATTGTGATGCCTCCTTTCTTCTTGTTGCCTAGGATTGCTTTTGCTAATCTGGTCTCTTATGGTTCCAAATGAATTTTAGAAGTATTTTTTCTAGTTCTGTGAAAAATGCTGTTGGTATTTTGATTAGGATTGCATTAAATCTATATATCATTTTTGGTAGTATAGCCATTTTGACA